CCCAACTCGAGTTACGAAAAGTCACCCGAGTGCCCGCAAGCCCTTGCACCCCTATGATAGGCTGACGACCTCCCTAGAAACCCTACACCCCACGTGTGGAGCCTGCTGTTGCCCTAGACCCTAAACCCTAAACCCTAAACCCTAAACCCTAAACCCTAAACCCTAAACCCTAAACCCTAAACCCTAAACCCTACTCCCCTCCATCCTGGGAAGGCCACTGCCAGCTCTGGGCTTCCTTTTCGGGCTTCTCCTGCTCCTCACGGGCTCCTTGGGTTTCCTGTGGGCTTTCTAAGGGTTTAGGGTTTATGGTTTCGGGTTTAGGGTTTAGGGTTTAGGGGGCGGCTTCTGGTGTCTTGGGTAGAGGTACTATAGGAACCTTTAGTTTCCAATAAGGTTTTGGGGGTCATTGTAGTATAATTTTGAAGGGACCATAAGGGAAAAAATAAGTATCTCTTCCGACCCCTTTTTTTACGCTACAAAACGGGGGGAGAGGCTTGGGAAGTTCTGCAGCACGAAGGAGACGCGGATAACAACACTTTACCGCCTTGAAGCACATACTTTCGGGTCACTCAGGCTTACGGGAAGACTTTGGGGCTTTGAGGATGGGGGATTCATGGTCATTTGAGCTCCTTGCGAATGTCCGTGAGCCTAAACCCTAAGCCCTAAACCCTAAACCTAAACACTAAACCCAAAGCTGGGAACCCAGGCGTGGCCGGGCTGGTGGAGCCGCCCTCCGAGGAGCACGTTCGGTATGTAGGGTTTGGGGGGCATATATTGCTATATAAATGTGTAGACTAAACGTATACACATATATACATACACACATATGCATCTATAAACGGGTCCCTACTATCATCGGCGTAAACCTGGAGCTGCGGCCGCTTCTGCCTGCCGCTGAAGGGAGTGGAGGTTTGGCCTTCTGTGGACGCCTCTTCGATCAGATCGCCATAGCGCAGGGCAATGGTCGAGCCATACCGCGCCGACGTGACAGCTTGCCGGCCGACTCCTCCTTGCGGGCTGACTGCGCCGACCTGTTTGTGAAGCCTCATGTGGCTCTGAGCCCTGAATTCCTGTAAAGCACCTGACCGCACCCTAGAAACATCTAGAAACAGCTCCAGACTCTTCGTCACTCCAAAATCGCCACCTTGCAGAACCCTGAGAGAACCTTACCAGGAGAGCAAGGTGCGGGAGCACCGTGCCAGCATCTTCCTGGGTGCGAACCAGGCACGGGTTTCAGTGTTGACCGATCGCTTGCATGGACGATAGCATGCAACAGTTGAATCCCAGGATTGCGACGGTACTCAGAGGCTTAATCCAAGAACCCTAAACCCGAAACCCCAAGCCCAGCCCTAGGCTGCAAGGGCGCGAGAGCTGAGCGATTGGTCAGAGCAAGCCCAAAAAGGCCCGAAACCAGGAGCAGACCCCAACGAGCCCAGGAACCCTATAGTAGTATAAGTGTTATGTTGTAAAATTAGCATATGAATATATAGTATTCGTATGTTATTCGAATCTGAGGCTATATTCACTAGATTTGTTCATATGTCCTAAACCCTAAACCCTAAACCCTAAACCCTAAACCCTAAACCCTAAACCCTAAACCCTAAACCCTAACCCCTAAACCCTAAACCCAAACCTAAAACCCTAAACCCCTAACCACCCTAAACCCAAACCCATAAACCCAAAACCCTAAACCCGCAAACATAAACCTAATACCATAAACCTAAACCCCTACACCTAAACCCCCCCTTTCTTTGAACCCTGTACACCTAAACCCGAAGGTAAGCCCAAGCCCTAAGCCTAAGCCCCTAGCCCTAAGCCTAAGCCCCTAAGCCCTGCAGCCTCTAAGCCCTAAGCCCTACAAACCCTAAAACCTAGAACCCTAAAACCCTGAATAACCTAAACCCTAACCCGAACCCTGAACCCTAAACCCTAAACCCTAAACCCTAAACCCTAAACCCTAAACCCTAAACCCTAAACCCTAAACCCTAAACCCTAAACCCTAAACCCTCACCCTAAACCCTAAACCCTGACGCTTCTAGACCCCAAGCTTCCCCTAAAGCTGTCCGTCCGAAGCCCTCTGCCCCCTCCATGAAGCCTGGAGTCGTCGTATGAGTCCCTAAACCCTAAACCGTAAACCCTAAACCCTAAACCCTCAGCCCTCAACCCTAAACCCTAAACCCTAAACCCTAAATCCTAAACCCTAACCTTCAGTCTGAAGCCAGCACTGATTATGAAGACCCCCGCAGAACTTGAGGTTTGCAGTTCAAGGCCTTAGGGCACCGAGGGTTTTTTGGGGGGGGGTTCGGAGCTTGCCACATCCTGCAATAGGCGCCTGGTTCCTAAACCCCCAAACCCTAAACCCCAAACCCTAAACCCCAAACCCTAAACCCCAAACCCCAAACCCCAAACCCTAAACCCTAAACCCTAAACCCTAAGCTGTTTGCCGAGAGGTAGACTTCCTGGAGTTTGCGGAGGATGTCTTCTACGACCCGGTCTGGGAGGAACATTCGCGGACCTCGCGCGACTCTGCTCTGCGGATGGTTTGGGGTTTAGGGTTTAGGGTTTAGGGTTTAGGGTTTAGGGTTCAGGGGTTCCTCAGTACTTCGACATAGCGTGGGGTAACATTGGCTTTGTTTAGGACGAAGCTAGGCATGATGAGTTGGTGGTGTAGGGGTTGGAGGTTGAGGGTGGCTTGTATGTGTGCCAGGGTTCTGTAGTGGTGGGAGCATGGGTTCAGGAGATTAATTTTGCTGAGTGGAGGCGCAGCCTCGTAGTCTGATCGCTTTGGTTCAGGGTTGAGAGTTTGACAGTCTCGTGCAGGGGTTAGAGTTTAGCTTTTGCATGCTGTTGCCGCCAGATTTATTGGGGGTTGCGTGTGGTGTATCATGCTGGACCCAGGCTGCTGCTTCTGTCAGTGTGTGAGGTTGTCGGCAAATGCAGGCCAGTCGCAAGTTTTGAAAGAACTGACCAGACGTTTGAAACTGCTGCAATCGTTCAGGGACTGCATGCTTCGGTCTCAAGCAGGTCATAGTTACGGAGTTGCGGAAAGTTGGCAATGTCGACACGCAAGCGCTCTTCTCACAAAACATTCGTCTTAGGTGGCACGCAAGTTGCCATCGAGAATCGGCGTCGCACGATGCGGCAGTCGCTGCCCCTCGGACAGAAGTTCCTTGCTACGGGGTCCAGGACTACTTGCTGCGCAGGTCGAAGGCTCTGGGTGTTGCTAGGGTATCAAGGGTTAGCATATGTTAGCATGGCTGCAGGCCTTGCTGGCGAATTTGCCTGCTGCAGCCTTGATGTGTCTAGGTGCACGTCTGGCAGATGCAGCAAGAGGGGTCAGGAAAAATGCGCACTGCGCGCCACATGTGCATGTCTGCAGGGGCTATTCGACGCAGTAGCACACCAGTTCAAATGCATCGCCCATGGCCAAGCTTCGGCACGAAAGAGATGCCTTACTCTGACCCACTAAACGCCGGCCACGTGCCGGTGCCGGCCACTGTCCTAGACAAAACAGCTCTGAGGAGCCGCATGTTCCCTTTTCGTTGGAGTTGCAGCTCACAAACCAGTTGCCTCTTGAGCCAACAGTGCGCCTGGATGAATCAATCCGAGAACTCCCCAGTCCGGCCTAGTAACTAGCAAGCGAAAAGAATCAGGCTGAGGGTGAGCTTAGTGTCCTTGGCCAGAAAAAGTGGGGTTGTCACAACGACGCTCTTTTTTTGGTGTTTATCCCAAAGCCACCAACCTTGCAGGAGGTTCGAAACCCTAAACCCTCAACCCTAGCCCCAAACCCTCAACCCTCAACCCTCAACCCTAAACCCTAAACCCTAAACCCTTTTCCGACATGTTGCGCGGCAGCCTTTCCCAGGTTTCTGCCACCCGCAGAGGGCTCGCCGGGTGGAAAGCGATGTGTGGAGCTGATGCCGAGCTCTGCTTAGCGGGCTTACGTGGCAGTTTTAAGTAGGGTTTAGGGTTTAGGGTTTAGGGTTTAGGGTTTAGGGTTAGGGTTTAGGGTTTAGGGTTTAGGGTTTAGGGTTTAGGGTTTAGGGTTTAGGGGACCCTAGGCCCTAGAACGGACCCTTAATCTTATTCCCCTATATAACCCATAATTATATATAACCCCTATATATACCTCCCCAAAGAACCCCCTAAGGTCCCTCATTGGGGTCCCTCCTCCTTTAGTCCCTGGACAGTTGAAGCCCTCCACACCCTAGCCCCGTGGTAGGTCCCAAGCGTACGGAAGGGAGACTAAATTTTGGGATGTTCCCCGAATACTACCAGGGTTTAGGGTTTGGGTTTAGGGCTTAGGGTTTAGGGTTTAGGGTTTAGGGTTTAGGGTCCAAAATAGGGATTAGAAAAAGAGGTTACACTAATCCCTATTAAGGCCTGTTAGTTTAAGGGGGAGCATCCCAATCTAAACCCTAAGCCCCCCCACAACAGTCGACAGAAGTCTACCTTGCACCTTCTGTCCAAAGACTTTTTATGTGCGGGCGCGAGAGGTCGCAACAGCTCGCGAAAGCCATCCTACCAAGCAGAACTCCGGGTCGACGTGCTTCTCCTCTTTGGGGTTTAGGGTTTAAAGGTTTAGGGTATAATGTGGCGGTATCTGTGCTGATGCTCAAAGCTATGCCGAGCCCGGGGCATTCAGTTCATGTGCCCGAAGCCCGATGGTTCTGTTTAGGTGAGCCCTGTTCTCAGAAAGTGAGCGTGAGTTGGCGCAGGCCACAGGCCGTACTTTCCGAGACAGGATAGCTTCTGACTGTAGTTAGGTTTAGGCAGCCTTCGCTTGATAGGGATCCTCATGGAGTGTTTCTGAGCCTGCGTGCTGAGTGCAGACAGTCTCTGAGGATCCCCGTAAGCGATTCTGTTCCAAAGCAGCGGCATCGCCGAAGGTGGTAGCCGTGGCATTTAGGTGCCGAAGACTCAGACTCACGCTTTAGCTTGGCAATCTGGCCTCAAACAAGGCGTGTGCGCACCAACCACGGTAGATGTGGGTTGGCAGAAGCCGCATTTAACGCATGGACAGGATTCTTGCCTTGAGTTGAGAATGCAACAACAGCGCTGGGCTCAGAGCCCATAGCCCGAAGCTTCTCAAAGCCCACGAGCACGCTGTCATGTCTCTGGATAAAAGTCTTACCGAGCGATGCGCGGCTGGAGGTGCAGACCCTTCGCGACGCCCTTGTAGCCTGTAAGCTCCAAAGAGCCGCCGCAGCTGGTCAAGGCGGAGCCGCAGCATCACAAAATGGACATACTCCTGCCCGTCGCCAAAATCTCGGCTCCAGCGATTGGGGCGGCATGATCATGAAGCAAGGACACGGAGGACACGGGTGCAGTGTTCGGTGTTGCCAACTGAGCTGCCACAGCAGTTGCAGGAAGAGCGCTTGGATACGTTAAGCTGGTGTCCCCTCGCTCGACGGCACATCTCATTCTCTCAAATCCAAACTTACCAGGCAGCATCGGCAGATTTCAGGTAAGTTGTCGATTCCGAAAAGCCGTGTGTCACCACCACTTGTCGCGAAGTGCGCAGCTCAGATGAAGACCACACGCTGGAGGGCTTATTGCGTGTTGCTCAACACAGGACCGCCCCGCCAAAGCATTAAAGATGAGGGTTAATTATGATCATGATCATCAAGTCTGCCCACAACATGATCAACCCCTCCCTCCCCTCCCCCTCCCTCCCCTCCCTCCCCTCCCTCCCCCCCCCTCCTCCCCTCCCCTCCCTCCCCTCCCCTCCCTAGATTCCTGCCGGATCCGAGGTCTTGGGCCTTTGCAGCTTGAGTGCCGAGCAGCTCGCAGCAATGGCTTTGGATTTCGGTGCCTTGGTTCAGAAGCCCAGAGACCCAAAGTCAGAATTCCCAACCTGAAAACTCACAAGGAAAGCCCCCGAGTGGAGACTTGACAAAAAAGAGTAATTACCAGGCAGAGTTTTGAGACCCCCTAAGCCCCATTACGTACCTTTGGCTTTCTGGCCGCCTGGCCCTTGAAATGAGTCCGGGTCATCGGCAGCATGCACAAGCAAGTCTGTGGCGGGAGTAGAAAGGCACTATTTTAGGGCTTGAGTTCTGAATGCTTGAAGTTTGTCGGTTTCTGCGTTCTTCCCTGCCTCCGAGACGAGGTCCCCTTATGTTTCAGAGGCCCCGAACCTCTCAGAGCACTGGCACTTGAGATGGGCTCGCAAAAGGTGAAAGAAACGACATGTCAGACAAGCTGACGCGCGGCCCTCAGCCTGCGTCCTGCTGAACGTTTTCATGTGTCGAGGGGTGGATTTCTAAACCCTAAACCCCATAAACCCTTTAAAACCCTAAGCCCCAACCCCTATAGATGGGCCGTGGCCTCGGAAAGCATCGGAGCGCCGTGGACTGCTAGCAGAGGGGGCGTGCCGAAACCCTATAGGGGTTAGCCCTCGGACCTCTGTGCTTGCTGGGGTGAGGCAACAGAAACCTAAACCCTATAAACAAAACTATCAAAATGGTTGACAAGGGGTCCAGGGTTCATGGACAAGGATACATGGCAGCCACTAGAACTCTGGGGATAGGACTTGAACCTTCCACAGGAGTCAGTCCTGCCAAGACCCAAGAGGGGCAAGAGTGCAGTGAAGCAGGTGAATCCTAACCCGAAACCCTGAACCCTAAACCCTAAACATCCCTAAACCCTGAACCTCTATAAAACCCTGAGCAGTTCCGAACCCTTAAGTCGATCCCCCTTACATCAGTGGCCCATCCAGGCCCAGAAGTGCAGCGCAAACGCTGCAGGGCTATCAGGCCGGGGGGGGGGGGGGGGGGGCGGTCTTCCAGATCCGAGCTTATACCTGGGACTCTACTTACATGCAGCTTCGTCGTAACCACCCTTCATGTGCAGGTGTAACCCACAAAGCTGTAGGTAAAGAGAACCCTAAACCCTAAACCCCAAACCCCAAACCCTAAACCCTATACCTTAAATAATCTTTGTTAGGTTCCGAGACCGGCCGTGCTTTTGGGTTTTGCTGGACGATTGGCTCCCGGGATCGGTTGTGGGCCCGTGCTGAGAGAGCGCACCCAGCATGCTCGAAATCACAAGCGTTAGGGTTTAGGGTTTAGGGTGTAGGGTACAAAGGTTACGCCCTCAGTCGGGCTGCAAAAGGGTACAAAGGTTTAGGTTTCGGGTCTAGGGTACAAGGTTTGGCAACATGACGGGCCTTGTCCGCGTGCATCAGCGCGCTTGATTCAGCATGGCCCTGCAAGGACAACCATCAGATAGAGCTGTTCATGCAGGAGATGGCTTGAGGGTGAGTCCAGGTTCGGGCTTCGAGTTTCGAAGGGGTTTGCCAGGAAGTACTGACTGGTAGGTCTGCTTAGTTAGGTTTAGTTGTACAGTAGGTAACCTGTAACCTTTTTCGGGTGAAACAATCCCCGTATATTCCCAAAGGTTAACCTGTAGTCCCCCCCTAGGTACTGGACAACTAAGTATGCTCTTCTGACTCATCAGGTTCAGTTTAGAGGTCCCAGATTTTGGCTTGGCAGGTTTGGCATTAGGTGCCCGCACCCAAAGACAATCACCTGCAGAGCTTCTTGTTCTCTATGCTCCCCCATGCGAAGATTCTTCTTCTGTGGCTCGGACAGCCATGTTCAATCAATGGTTCCGAGCAGAAGGGGTCCTTAGACATTTCGGGTCTTGGGGGTCCACAAAAGCTTTCGGTGGTTGGAGCTTGCGGCGTTGGAGCGCTCAGGAGATGCTGAGCGTCGTCTGCACCCTTTTGCCCGACGACCCCTACGAATTCATGACCAACCACGTAGCGCGCGGGGGCTTAGTTCACCCAGCCCGATAGCCCCCCAGGGAATCTCAGACTGAAACAGTTTCTTCCAGAAGCCTGAGCGCACGCTGCAGCGCGATAGGGCTTGGGGCTTGGGGCTTGGCGCTTGGGGCCTGAGTACCGTTCAAGAGACCGGCCCATGTTCAATACCATCCCCCAAATGGATGTGGCATGATGCAACTCAAGCAGTAGATGTATGATGTCCAAGTGCTAAGCCCCAAGCCCATAGTCTAAGCTTTTCAGCCCTGACGAGCTTGACAAGCCACCCTTTCAGAATTTCGAGCTGAAGTCCACAGTATCCCTACGCAGACATGCGCAGAAGCGCCATTGCAAGGTCCAACCGCCCCGCGCCCCCGCCTCCCGAGGGAGGGCAGCTGGGTAGCGGTGCCTTGCATCTTGGCTGAACTTAGGAGGGGATAACAAAATCGAACCACCACAAAAAATCCCGCTTTCAACTTTCGGAACCTCGTTACACAATTCAATCGATGCCCACTGAAACGTAAAGGTTTGGGCAAGATATCTTTCGGGCGCTCTGGCTCAGGTCGAAGGATTCACGGAAAGTTTGATAATTCGGGAAAATTCGAACCGCCTGCTCTGCTTGTTCGGAGGGGTTGGGAAGGGGCCTGCTCTGCTTGTTCCAGGCGCCTTTCGGCCGGGGTCCGAGGCGAGTAAGTAGGGTCGAGAGTAGCAAGCAGCCTCTCGTCTTGGTGGCCGGCGACAAAATGCTCTGCTGCTCGGTGTTTGCCTGTTTTGTAGGGTGGCGGCTCGTAATCTCTGGCAGCATGCTTCTGACAGGTGGGTGTTGCTGCCGGGAGGCGACCCACTATGTCTGGATCTCAGGGTTGTGAGCTGATTGAGGGCATGGCATGGTCCTTGCGCGCGATGTATCATGGCCTTATATCTTGTTCCTGGCACCTGGGAACAGGCAGTCTCTACAGGAAGGCCCAGGAATTGGAAGGGAAGGCCCTCAAACTTAAACATGCTACAGCTGCTACAGAGCCATCGTCGCTGAAGGCCCGAGGTGCACAGGAGACATTGATCGTCGTCCGGCTTTTCGTGGATCCTTGCCCCTTGACGACCATGGCATCAACAAGCACAATGCCAGTTCTTATGGAGCACGACATCACTGTAGTCAACACCTTTGTTCAGGTGTCCGAGCCTCGCCCACGCCGGTACCTGCAACGCTCGCAGACCGCGCCCGAGACGGCCCTTGAGGAGGGCACTGGGGAGCTGGACATGGAGGAGCCCAGGGCACCTGAAGGCACCGAGCAAAAGGCCGACAAGGAGGTGATCGAGGAATCGCCGGAGGCCAGCGAGCCGGTGAAGACCGTCAAGAAGCTGCAGACCCTGCGCACTCTGAATCGTTTCGAGACCCCGGACCCCTGGGACCTGGAAGCGCTCTGCAAAAGCCTCGACGAGGAGGAGACGCTGCCGGCCAAGCCAGCCTCGAAGCCATGCCTCCTGCACTCCGCAACCCCTGACCGATGGGAGTGGGACGCGATGGTAAGGGAGGAGATGCAGACGGAGACCCACCACCAACCCGTCATGGCGCCGCCTTTGGCGCCGCCTTTGGCGCCGCCTTTGGCGCCGCCTTTGGCGCCGCCAGCTGCGCCCGTGCCCGGGATGGCCTCGGCCTACATCCCCGGGCAGCCCTGCCTCAGCCAAGCAGCTCCCATGGTGTCATTCCTGACCGTGCCCGTGCCACTCGCCATGCCTGTCACCTCTCCGACGTCAGTTCCGCCAGGATGCGAATATCCCCGTCTGCTGGGCAGCCTGAGCCCGGCGTCGCAGGGCTCGCCCAAGCCCACCTCCCCCGGCGTCTCCCCGCGCGGGCAGCCTGGGACTTTGGAAACCGCACACCTGGATGAGAACCGTGAGCTGGTCAAGTGGCATGTGGACGCTGCGAAGTTTGAGTCCAACTCAGAGAGGCTGCTCAGCCCGGAGTTTCAGCTGCTCTTCCCTGGACAGGCAGAGCCCTTCACTTTCCGAATGGTGATCCTCGCCACGCAGACCGGTGGAAAGCACGGCGCCGGATTCAAGAAGGCCAAGGGGCGAGGGGGCATCGAATTGAAATGCTCTTCTGCCGTGCCTTCAGGCGTGGACAGCGTCACCGCCTTTGTCACAATTGGCGAAGGAGCCCGCAAGCAGATGTGCGCCAAGCCGATTGTGCACAACTTCGGCGACAAGACGTGCTGCCAGCTCCGGAATGGAGATGACGCAGATTGGGACTTCAGGCAGTCGATTGGCAGAGATGCCAAGACCTGCGAGATTTCGGTGGAGATCCACCTTTGATGGGGCTTCACCGCCGATCCCGCTTCACGAGTGGCTTGCTGCAGAGGTGTTTGGTATAGTGAAATTCGCCTTGCGCGGCGTGAATTTGTTGTATAGACCTTGGCCTCAAGTCACGAAGGATCACGAAGACGAAGGATGATGTTGACACGTGTTGCGTGCCTACTGGGCCTACTTTCAGAGCTTGCATCGTAACTTGAGTTTCTGATTCCTTGCCTTCGAGAAGGGTCCCGCTTTCTTGGCATATCTGTGGACAGCATCGGGCTTGTGGCCAAGGCAGTGGACAAGAGCTCCCTGAAGTTTCGGCGTTCGCTTACAAAGCAGCGAGCGGAGAAGCGGTGCTACAGCCCCTTCGTTGCCCATGTGGCGCAGGTCTTGCCCCCCATATGCTCATTGTGGCCTTGCACGCATGCTTTTCTGCGGTTCCGATGTACAGTGGGTTTCCGACGCAGACTGCCCACCCACAAGGGCGGGTTTGTGCAGAAGTGTAGTGCTTGACCCAAGCCTGGGACATCGTAACAGAAGCTTGCCAGCGCCAGAGTGGAAAGAAGTTGCCGAGGAGACGAGCATGGCGCCTGCGTAAGGACGACACGTACGGTGACATGTGCAAGTCGAGAACGCACACCAAGACTGTGCCCTACAACTGATGCTTAGTACCTGAGTAGATAACCTTTAACTTTTTAGTGTATACACAAGCCTTTCATAGTTGAAAGGTTAAGCTTTTTGGGGCCAAGGTACTCAAGCCTAAACCCTAAACCCTAAACCCTACTAGGTGGAAGGCCTTAGGTGTGAGAGTGGAACCAGCGAAGCAAAAACACCCAGGTGCGGAGCACTGGAGATTGCGGCGCTGTTGGCTCTCGAGCAACAAGGGTGCACATGAAACCTACTCGTTTCTTTGCTGTTTGAGATCATATATATATATATATATATGTACAATATATATGTATACATGTATATGTATATGTATGTGTATGTATAAATATATATATATATGTATATATATATATATACATATACGGAGGGTAGCTGGGATCCGGGGAGTTATTGCCCTTGGCGTCTGGTTATTTAACAATGGTCGAGACTCTGCTCTCATGCTCTTGGCTTTGCCCTAACCCCTAAACCCCTACACCTCTAAAGCCCTAAACCCCTAAAGCTCTAAAGCCCTAAACCCTAAACCCGAAACCCTTCCCGGGTCATTGGCGAAGGCAAGGGCACACTGTGCGTGAGCACAGCCCCTGCGACGGTCCAGCAGGATGGCAGCAAACTGCTTCTTGACTGGGCAAAAGATCTTGGGGCTTGGTGGGATGTTAGATGTCGTGATTGGGGGGCCAGGGACTTCCGCAAGTGGTATGAAGGCAATTTGGTACCTCTGCTTACATCACGTTTTGTCAGCAATGTTTGCCAAGTCTGCTTGCTGTCGGATGCGTTGCAAGGATGTACCGCGCGCCCGACAACAAGGCTCCCACCACCTTCCCTGTGGAGGTGGGTAGCACCTATAGAGAACTGGACGAGGACGCTTGACTTCACGGTCGCCGACATGTTGTGTGTAGTGAGCCTGAGAATAGGGGGGGGGGTCTTTTAGATGAAGCTCAGCTGCTCACCCCCCCCGACCATGCGACAGCCAAAGCCCCAAACCTAAACTCTTCGAGTACACATGTGTTGCCCTGCAGTGCGGCCCAGCCAGACAAACCACTAAACCCTGAACCCTGAACCCTAAACCCTAAACCCTGCAAAGAAAAACCCCAAACCAGATTGCGATGCCATGTGGGGCTTTGAGGATGAGACTGCCCGACCCTTTGGCTTCATCGTCACGAAGAAGGCCCTCTGGGCCACCAAGGGTTCAGGAAAAAGGGTTTAGGATGGGTTTAGGCATAGTCCTCTCAGGAATCATCTTTTTGCTTATAGGTCCTAAGGGAGTATAGTTCGGAGACAAAAAGCCGTTCAGGTTGTAACAGCTTAAGAACCTCACAGCTCCCGATGGCTGACTTTCAGGTGTATTGCGTGCGGGCCTGTTGCGAGTCAAGGGAATCCTTACCGCCAAGGAAAGGACTTCTTGGACGTGGGCCCTTCTGTTAGGCTTCTGTGGAGTTGGAGGTTTGGGTTGCAAAAGGCACTAGCACCAAGGGAAGGTTTAGGCTCAGAGAATTTAGCCGAACTCGATAAAGCAACACAGAAGACTAACTAATTGCCGATCACTCTATATAACCATGATGTACACTGTACCGAGAATGTCCTCGAAACGCGCATCTTGAGTATCATGTCGTTCCGTCCGCCTTAGTCTTTCAGCAATGGTTGGCAACATTTTGAGTAGCAACTCCTTGCAGAGCAATAATGACTTTGATTTCGTCGTCCTTCACACTGTTGTGTACGCTTTGGTTTGCCTGGTACGCCTGTGTTACTCGCCGGCTCTTCACTGATGCAGGGCTCCAGCATGTTCTTGGCGGCGGGCTCAGAGGAGCAGCGGGACGAATGGTTCAACCTCCTTGGCCACTTTTCGGACGCAGACCCTCTGAGCTCTTCAGCACGAGTGTTTGTTTTGGAGCAAGTCTTTCCGTGTGGTAGAGCACGATCTTTCCTTTCTTGGCATTCTGCGAACCAGTAGAAGTTCTGCTGTACTTCTTGTCCAATTCTGGACCCCAACATTTTCCGGTTACTAGCCCAGAGCTGATCACATCGCAACACTTTTATTCTTCCCTGGGTGCTGACCACGTCAGGATGCCCGGTTGTGCCCTTATTCCCTTTTTTGGGGGTTTTAGGTTCCCCTACAAACCCCGATTTTGCTTCTTAATCCTGGGTTACTGGGCTAGCCACGTCAGGATCGGCGCAAGGGTCCTCCGCCCGCTGTTGGCAAGATCCTGTCCCCGAGGGCGGAAGGCCTCGGTGGCACGCAGGTGAGGGGCGAAACATTGCATGCATGGCCCGGCGAGACCCCTAACTCTACACCTAAATATTGGGATGTTCCCCCTTCTACTAACAGTCCTTAAGAGAGATTTTTAAGGACTGTTAGTGTAAGGGGGAACATCCCAACCTAAATACCCTAGACAAAGCCAAGACTGTTGGAGTCGTTTTCCACATTCCATCTCTAACTTGACGATGCCAAAATGTTTCAGCCCTACTTTGGGTTTAGGGTTTTGAGTTTAGGGTTCAGGTTTAGGGTTTGGGGTTTAGGGGTTTGGGGTTTAGGGTTTAGGGCTTTAGGGCATCTCCTGGCAGGTGGTGGACGAGATCGGGCCGACGGACATTCCCATGCCGCCCCCCAAGCCCGGGCCCAAGGAGGCCGCGACGACGCCCTCCACGCTGCCGCTTGGCTCACTGTTGCAGTTGCGGTTTAGGGTTTAGGGTTTAGGGTTTAGGGTTTAGGGTTTAGGGTTTAGGGTCTAGGGTTCAGGGTTTAGGGTTTAGGGCTTAGGGGGGTTCAGAGGTCAGGGTTTACGGTCTACGGTTTACGGTTCGTACCGATGTTCGTACCGATGAGGGTGGCAGGGTTTCAGGGTCAAGGGGCTCGAGCCTTGGAGTCTGGCACAGTTTTAGTGCAGTTTCGAAGTACCCTAAACCCAATGACAATACACCCTATAAACCCTGCAACCTATAGGCTCTAGAGGATCTAGTCCAATGCAAACCCTAAACCCGCAGGCCCCTAAGCCTAGATTGTGTGTGTGCGTGGCCCAAAGAAGTCCCAAAGCCCCTACTTCAAGCCCCGAAGGCCCTGAACCCCTAAACCTTACACCTTAACCCCTCTTAGGGGACAGCCCTTGACCCAGATATCCTGCAACTCTCATCGGTAGCCTTCAACCCTAAACCCTAAACCCTAAACCCTAAACCCTAAACCCTAAACCCTAAACCCTAAACCCTAAACCCTAAACCTGGTGGCATTGATGATCAGAACCTCGCTGACGCGGTGCATAAGATGCTGTTCTCTTATCTGTGTAGCCACACAGCTCACACAGCTATCTTTGGCAGCGACATGGTAGCGATTGGGATCCTGGGAATCATGCCCAGCGGTATATGATATACCGGCGTGATCAACTCTATCATGCGGTCACTCGGTGTTGTGCTTGCAGGGGCCCGTGCAGCCATTTCCGTTGGCGATGACAACGTCCGAAGTGGACCGAGGCCCGGCCTGAGCTTGGATGACCTCCACCGATTGAGCATCGCGTTACTTGACACGGGTCTCACCGTTAAGGCGGGGACACAACAGTCGAGCAAAGTCGGAGGTCCATACTCGATCACATCGCATGTGATTTGGCAAGACAACACTGGAGTTCTCAAGGCTGGTTATGAGAATGAGACAAAGTTCTTGGGCACATTCCTCCTCAAGTGCTTTCCGTCTGCTGACGAGTTTGAGAAGGCGCGGGCAGCTCATCCTGAGGCCACACAGGCCACGATTTTGAGGATGTGCAAGGTTCGCCCGCCAACTGATGAACAGACGGCTGCCTACAAGTTTTTCTTGAGGCATGAGCACAATGAGAAGTTTCGCAACCACATCCGCTGGATTTACCAGATCTTCGGATGGCAGTGGGACTCTGTCGTGGCCTGTCAGGAAGACGGGATCATCCACGACCTTCTCTGAGAGTTCCCTTGTGCGTGTGAATTAGGTCCTGAGCTCTAAAGGCCTAGAGCGGGATGTTCTATACAGGTAGAAGGCACCAATGTTGAGTTGCGAAACGACTTTGTGACAACCAGCTGTTTGACTGCATCGTCTGCACCTAGGTGTGGATACTCCAGGCCACCACGGAGTGGGCTGGCGTCCAAGAAGAGGTCGAGGACCTCTTACAGGAGCACGCTCCAGAGCTCCTGGCCGCTATTTTGAGCGGTGCACTATCTGAGGAGTTCATCCAGACTGTGCGAGCAAAATTGGCCACCATTCGCCACCTCAGTCCGAAAGTCTTCAGATTCCATGTCTCGGCAATCTGGGCCTCGGCCAAAAGCCGCTGCCGCCCGACGGGCGCGCAGAGGGAAACCGAACATGGAGGAAATGAGGAGGAGGAATCTACAGTCACAAACGGACAAATTGTCCCACCAACTGTCAATCTTGTCCGTAGCCTCACAGCGAACAAAACCTCAGGCCAAGCCCAAAGCCCAAGCTCACGCTCAGAAGCAACCCCAACAAGGAGGAAGCTTGACCCAGCCTGGACCGCGGAGGAGGGGATACCCTCTCGCGCGCGTTCCCCCACATCGTATGCTAACCAGGCATGAGGACGTGCGGTCTCATGAATACTTTGACATTCCGCCGTCGCGGCTTGACAAAGTCTGGCTGATGTATTGGCCAAATAACGAGACCAAGACCGTATTCCTGTTCAGGGAGAAGGATGCAACAGACGCCCCTCTAGATTATGTCACAGACACGGTGGGGCAGCCTGCAGGGGTCACGATGCAGGAATTTGGTTCAGCAGCGGCCACTGGGAAAAGCATGTACACACTGAGCACGGTTGCAGCTGAGCAGATTAATCGCTCGGCTATCCTGCCTACCCCAGAGATCACATTGGGGGGGAGCCGTCAAGAGCGTTGGGAGGATCATTGAAGTTGAAGTTGACGTTCGCCTCGACTCAGTCTGTGACTATGAGATACATGGTTATGGACGATGATGTAAGCCTGAACGTTGCGCCTGCTGATGTGAGAGGGTCTGACTTTGCGTCATCAATCACGATGAAATCCAATTCTTGGGTTACCATCCGGCCCGAGCTGAAGCAGCCGCCACAACAACAGATTTTCCATCCTATAGAGGCTTACCCGAATAGCGCAAACGCCACGTACTGGCCTATCGCAATTGTGTTTATGAATGTGCGTTCCCCTGATCCACCTTATGGGTCAAATTTCACCCTTGAAGTGGATGGAATGCACACAATCGAACATAGGTTGCCTGATGGCTTGAAACACTTCTCCACCAAGCGTTAGGGAGGAGGCAGCCCTCCGCCTGTACAGCGGGAAGGGGGGGGTGAGTCAACGAAGCAGAAACCCGCTAAGAAAGGGAAAGCCAAGAACCTCAAACCAACAAGACCTAGCCAGAATGCAGATGGGTCGTACACCGTCAAGGAATCACTGCCCGCGCGTGCAGAGAAGGCGTACAACAGCGCGGTCAAACAGTTGGGCTCACTGGGTGTTGGGAGAGAACAACTAGCTCCATCACAACAGATGCTAGAGGCCTTACGAGGCTTCTTTGCTCCTGGACATCAATTCCCAGGGCCAAAGGCGGTTACGATTAGAGAACAACCACGCTCGGGGGAGATGAGGCGTTTGAGGAAACGATGGTAGCCACACTGTGCACTTTGCATGGTAAGCAACTGGCATGTTCAGCTTTATGTCACAAGTCAAGTCAGATTGAACAAGTCTGTGGATTTGTTTAGTCATCACTTTGATGGTCACCAATTTTCCTGAATAGGTCTTGGGATCTGTTCAATCCTTCGGGGTTTGGAGGGTTGTTGGTACAGAACAACGACTCTTGAAGCGTAAGTCCGCCAAACTGCTCCCCCTTCTCCGCAGGTGTGTCCTGTAGAGTCGCGAGGTGGTCTTTCATGGATAGCCATGTTCTTTCTGAATGGTGAGTCCGGCCGAGACTGTGTGTCTGACCAGAAGCTATTGAGCTCACCCTGTGAGTGACTTCCGGGGACATAATTCACTGGCAATTCCTGGTAAGAATAAATACGCCAGAAAATCTAAAACTTGCACGAAATATCGTACAGTCGGTCCCAGTAAAATGAGGGCATAAACTCTACCGAATCTGGGTGAAAGGGCCAAGTCCGTTATGTATCTATACCAGGTGGGTGCATATCTCTCCACACTAAGTAACTGTCCTCGCAATCCAGCTGCATGATTCGCCGATTTTGGGAGACACACGTGCACTCTAATTCGCCAACCCGTCGAACCAACTGCATGCGCCCCAAGTAATTCAACACACTCCAATGATCCTTGTACCTGGGTGGAGAGTCCGTGGTAGTTGCTAGCGTGTGGATGCTTGTGGTGGTGGTTGCTTCGGTGAGCTCTGTCTGATCTTTTGGATCTATGTGGTTGTTGGGATGTTGAGTAAATCTGGACTCTCCACGGACATGTTAGTAGCCACCGACTTTCCCCTGTGACTGGAGAATGCGAAACGCTGTGATATGCTGAGATATGCTGTTGTAGATTTTTGGGCAGGCACATGGCCTACTTGCTTTGTGTAGGTTGTTGCTTCGCTGGTGAACTTGGCGTTTCGACGAAGCAGCAACTCCATGTAGGAGACGAGGGCCCGCCAAAGTCTCTCGGCCCTGGCTCACGAGATGCTAGCCAGATGGACGAGAGCCCGAGATTCCTAAGGTTTGAGTTCTTAGCTGTGTGGATCTATGTGGTTTGGTCTGATGGGGTCGTGCGGTGTTACATCTGTTGGATCGATGTGGTTTTTGGGTTGGTGCAGTGACCGCCGGGAATCTTGGCACGACGAACTGACTCCAGCCTGGCTGGGAGCTGCGGGTGAGTCTTGAGGACTCGCCCTGTCCTGACATACGTCAAGGCTCTTTGAAGACCCTACGGAGTGAACATATGACATACGTCAAGGCTCTTTGAAGACTCCTGCGGAGTGAACATATGTCGTAGTGTTGGGCTTTCTTACTTTGTGTAATGTTTGGTGACGGTCATGTCCACTCTGACAAATTTCAATGCAGTCCCTGAATGGATGCCTGGGAAGCAACCATTGTACAAGAGCTCGAAGCGGGTGGTGAACCTATTGCCGTGCTAGAGCCCGGATGCCCCCCCCCTGCATCCTGGGGACCTAGGGCTGTGATGGATGAGTCATGGGGGTCGCTGAGAGACGGTTTTGTGTTGGGTTAGCCGCTTGTCTTTGTGTGAAGAGCTGTTGTTTTGGGTATGCTTTTTTGTTTGTATGAGTTGTGGAAAGGACCCCTGTGAGACTGATGATGAGACTTTAGTCTTGCACAGTTTGAAGGAGTTGTCATTAAGTTGAGTAAATGTTTTGTGCGGCCTGTTGGCCCTTTACCTTTGTTTCGGGGCTCCTTTTGTTTGACTCCACCTAAACGACAACTCCAGACCCTCCGAGACCAGTTTTTGGGACCCCCGTATTTGAAACCGCCAATTCCCTGCAGAGTGTCCGAGAGGTCAGCTAAGCGGGTGGCAAAAAAAAAAACCCTAAACCCTAAACTCTTGAAGTCATGAAGTCTCCAGAATCTTGTGGGCTGTATCACCAGAGAGGATCCCAACCGAGGCCTTGCCGGCCTTGTGCGAGTGTGAGAGTCGAAACCCTAAACCCTAAACCCTAAACCCTAAACCCTAAACCCTAAACCCTAAACCCTAAACCCTAAACCCTAAACGAGCATAAGGAAGCCAATCCTGAAGTCGAAGCCTTCGGCCTCCGGCACCGCGCCGGTCCCTGCCATCCGCATCCCGCGCCGCGTGCCGCAGGACCCGATGGAGCCTTGGAGGGTTTAGGGTTTAGGGTTTAGGGTTTAGGGTTTAGGGTTTAGGGTTTAGGGTTTAGGGTTTAGGGTTAGGGAGTTTAGGGTGGGGAGTTTAGGGTTTCGGGAGTTTAGGGTTCAGGGAGTTTGGGCAGTTGTTTGGGGCTTGGGGTGGATGTAGGGTTGGAGACATACAGAGACCTGGTTGCCCAAAGGGGGCCTTAGACCCAGGATGCAAAAAGGGGTTTAGGGTTTAGGGTTTAGGGTTTAGGGTAAAAAGGGGTTTAGGCGGGTGCTTTGGGGGGGGGCACAATGTGGGCCTTAACCAGTAACTATGGCACGCGGGTTTTTCCTGCTTTGGTTTGTACAGGGCTTTGCAGGGGTTCAGGGGCGAGGCCCGACATTTCGCAGCCAAGGAAGCATGTGGCGACAGCACGCGCCGAAGCTCCATCCGCTTCTCCGAGGATGTGGAGCGCACCTTGGCGGCCAAATGAGCCTTAAAAGGGTTTAGGGTCCTACCTTAATAGGGATTAATAGGGATTGTAGTAGTAGAGGGTATCTGCCCCCCCAATTTTAGGGATCCTTTCGGCCCCAAGGAATGGAGTTCGCGGTCTCGCGTGCGGAACCAGTCCCGCAGAACCTGCCCTTCGGCTTCAGCTCCGAGCTTCTTTCGGGTCGCAAATGCAAGATGCGGTTTGGCCATTTGTGTGCTTGCATCTGTTTGCCTCGGTGTAGCATGCCTTGTTCGATCCTCTTGGGCTGGAGATGAAGAATTCAGGAAGGGATCAGCTTAGGCCCGGAACCTTATTACCTAGATCTTCATAGGAACCAGTAGAACCCCCTTTACCCTCAACCCTCAACCCTGAACCTCCACCCAGGCGCGCGCACGAAAGCCGCAGGAAGCCGCCGGCAGTGGTGGCCACCGCCAAGACGGCCAGTGGGCAGCCGGTGCAGGCGCCTCCCAAACCATCAGAGCTGAGGTCTGCCTTCAGGCTCCGCAGGTTCTCAGGTTTAGGCGTAGTTGGCTCGAAGGGCTCTCCATCTTGGGGACTTTTGAGGCTACAAGAGATCACGCTCCTGTAAGGGTTCTTGCTATATTTCTGAGTGCACTTCTTTGTTCGGCTTCTTTTGGTTTCTTTGTCGGCCCCGATGCATCAGACATCCTTCTGCAGAGCAGGGCTCTCTTTTAGTGGGGTTTCTGTCTGCTTGGCTTGCAAGTTTGGGCACGGCTCAATGAAGTCTCCTTTCGGCAGTGCGGGTACCGCACGTGCCTAGATTTTTGTCCAAGCTTCTTTGGACATGGAAGGCAGAAGCACCAGCCTGTGTTGGCTTGTTGTTGCTGTGCTTTCATGGGCTTGCTCTGGGAAAGAAGGCCTCGCGGCACCGACGGTTCTCGCTGATATCCCTGCGGATTCCGGCGCATTCCTCCTGCAAGCGGAAGCTACTTCTTCGCGCAAAGAGTCGCCGGAAAATGTCAGTGATGAAGTGGCCCTCGAACTGGCTGGTGACCTTCTCCATCCCCTGAGTACAGCGCTTGGCGACCTGAGTTGGCCACATTGGGGCATCCTGTCGCGGAAGTTCTGGCAGTGTGGCCTTCACTGGTTCCTGGCTATTCTGGCTGGAGCAGCTACCGGTCTACTGCTGGTCCCAGCTGTCTTTCTTGCCTTGGCGCTGCTTGGTTTTACGACAGGCGGTGTCCTTGCTGGATCCTTTGCTGCATGTTGCCAAGCACGGATTGGGGCCGTGGCTGCAGGATCTTGCTTTTCATTGGCGCAATCCATGGCAGCAACAGGAATGATGGCTTCATGCACGCCATGTGTTGTTGTATCAACTTCCATGACAGGCGCCGCTGTCGCATCCTATCTCATGTACATGAACCACTGTGCGTGGTTCAATACGGTTTGTTGTCATGATGACTGGTGCTGGTGGACAAACATCACGCACACGCAGTCTTAGATGCTAGACGCCTGCCACGTAGCACAAAAACAAACCGTTGTTTCTTCGAGTGCCAAGCTCCAGCTGGCCTCCAGCTGACGGGGGCAGAGTCCTGGATGCACAGTGTTGTTGTCTTGCTGTTTGGTGTTCTCCTCTTGGTTCTCTTTCTCTAGACAAATCTGTGCAGGTGCGCGTGTCTCCCCGGACAACCCCCAGCAGCCCGGGTACGCCACGCGTCGTGGTGCAGGCCACAGGCCCCACGCCCGGGACCCAAGGACACTTGGCTGTATTCTGGGTAGGCTTTTGGGATACTATGCATTTTCCCTTATTGGGTTTAGCAGGATCATTTATGGATTTTTTTCAGAGGGTTAGAAAAAGGGAAGATGCCATAGACTCAGACCTTACCTAAGCGATCGCCTCTGTCCTTTTCTCCTCCTCTACGGAACCCAAACGCGTCCTCCAACAGCCCCCTGGCTTTTTGTGGTCTAGGTTCCCTATAGAGACATCTATGGGAGTGCGGGGCAACTGAGGACATGCCCAGCAGGGTGGGGCAGATATCTCCGACCCCATCGACACGAATGCCGTGCCAGAGAGACCACCAGAGGTGCCCGCAGCTGCTACTCGGCTTTGCTTGTCAGCGCACGTGACCGGTTCCGCACTCGGGCGTATCATTACACGGTTTGTGCCGTTCAGGGTAGACTTAGGTGAGCTGTTGTCAGACAACTGCTTGTCAACTGCTACGAACTTGGGATCCCTTGAGCTCGGCGGGCAATGCCCGTGCTGAGGACACCAAGCCACCTGAGCCCGCCAAGCCACCAGAGGCGGCCAAACCGCTCGAGGCGGCAGAGCTGCAACCCTCCCCGGCCTCCGGTGCCCCCCCCCCCCCCCCCCCCCGAAGCCCTTCTAAGCACAGAACCTGCTGCATCTATTCTTCATACCTAGCCCACACATATATCTGTATATGCCTCTCTCTCTCTCTCCGCATACGTGCTGTGTATCACATCTCTTTATATATATATATATATATATATATATTCTTATATATATATAGGTGCGATATGCTTGATATTCGTTCGTCTTTCTGATAGCGCCTGGCAGCATGTTTAAACCCCCCCCAGCTTGAGCCGTCGCAGGCTGAGAAGCCTCCGGCGACAGTGGAAGTGGAGAAGCCGACAGAAGCGGAGCCACCAGCAGCCACCTGGCTTATTGTATGGCTATAATGACAGCAGAGTGTGTTTATGGTATTTTCCGGGTTTTACTATGACGAGTATTCGTATACAAGTAGCCTTATGAGGGTGCTATCATCGGATGATTTCGGGTCGGGCCGCCTCTTCTGTCACGATCTTAAAGCAGCCGCAGCAACCCTTCAATGCAACACCCGAGGTCCCCTCCGGGGCGAAGGAGGCCGATCGAATGATGCGGATTTTGGAGAGGGGGGGTGGGTTGGGCATTCAGAATCTGATTCACAGCTCTCTTTTTTTCTCTAGCTTGGGCGCGGGAAGTTGCGGCCCAGTGGCTTCTAGGGTCTCTGGATGTAGCTTTAGGATTTGGGTGGGGGGGGGGGGGACGGGGTATCCGAGCGTTCCGAGCCGGGGTGTAGAACAAAGGCCAGTGTGTTACGTTCGAGGGATTCCGAGGTCCCTTATCTTGTGGCTGAAGAATCCCAGAGTTGCAAAGGCTTCAAAAGGTAAAAGCAATGAACAATCACGAGTACAAGCGTGTGTGCTTGTGCTTGTGCTTGTGCTGTTAAATGTGTATAAATATTTGTGTATATGACAAAAATATAACAATTACATCTCCTCTCTCGTCTCTCTATATGAATATCTATATCTATGTCTATGACTATGTCTATCTCTATCTCTATCTCCATCTCTCTATATAGATGTATGTACGTATGTATGTCTGTATGTATGTATATATATATATATGTATATATGTATATATAATACATGTACATGCAAATATGTATAAGAGCCTGCAGCAGCCTTTGCCAGGCCTCGGCCGCCCCGGTCACGGCGAAGTCGGCCGCACCGAGGCTGAGTCCCGAGGTGCTGCAGGCGCGCGCGACTTTTTTTGGGGGGGTTTTGGGGGGGGTCAATAGGGTTTAGGGTTTAGGGTTTGGGGTTTAGGGTTTAGGGTTTAGGGTTTGGGGTTTAGGGTTTGGGGTTTGGGGTTTGGGGTTCAGAATTTGGGGGTCCTAAACCCCAAACCCTCAGCTCTTCAGCTGGATCAGGGCGACCGAAACCCGTGTCGGCGTGAATGGGCCAGTCCTTGCCTGCTGTGCGCCCGAGCGAGCGAGAGTCGAAGCTCGTCAGCGGTCTTTGGGGACTGCGAGGGCCCTTGCCCAACGGTTGCAATTACGCTTCATCACGCCCTCTAGGCCCTATACCCGAGATTCGAAGCCCGAACTGCTGCACGACCTTGGCTGCAATCAAGAACCTTGGGCTCTTGTGGTTTTTCGGTGCAACTTCCAGAGAGAAACCAAAGCTCTAGTTTCCGCAGGCTGCGGACGACAAGGCCGAGGGTGTTTCAGCGAGGTTGAGTAGGTTGAGAAAAGGGCTTGTGTAGGGCCGGCGGGAGTTTGTGTGCAAGGTCAACAGCTCAAGGAAGTGACTGTTCAGCCATGCACAAATGATGGCAAGGGAGGGGCCTGCAGTCGCATGGAGCCTGGCAGCTCGCTGCACTGTGTTCTCCCTGAACCCCAAGCCTTCATTACAGCTTGCCTTGAAAGCCTTAGAGATGTAGAGCCCCTACAAAGTTTGGGGCTTGTGGGGTATATAGGGATCTTTTGCTCACTCTCTTTGACTCTTTGTGTCTTGGGAGTTGAGGGGCCTGGCCGGAAGGGGCCTTAGGGTCTTCGGGTTCCCATCAGAACTGTGCGACGTCCCCTAGCCCGGCAGTTCTCCCGGCCGATGAGCCCAGCGGATCCCACGAGCCCCACGGCAACTGGGCTCTGCGAAAGTGGGTTATGTTTTGTTACTTCAAGCTCATCTGCAGGCAGGAATTTGGTATTAAAGGGTCTGCAAGATAATCCAGGCGATGACTCGTTCCCCATGGTTGTGCTGTAAGACAATGCTTGCGAGCCTCCCGAGTCGCCCCGCCCCAAAGTTTACACTGAGGTAGTCAGCTCACCGCACAGTGAGGTGCCAGAAGGCCAGGGACGTGTGTTGTGGGCTTTGGGTTGGGATGATCCCGGTCGTATACTGCAATCCTTACTAAGGGCTGTTAGTAGAGGGGGGAAATCCCAAGCTTTGGGCTTGATTGTGGGGCCGGGGGTTTTGGGTCTTTGCCCCTTCTGGAGCTTCCTCCGCATGGGCGAGGGAGCACCCTCCAGTCCTTTCCGAACCGAAGCCGCTCAGACCTCCGAATCCCATCCCTAAATCCTGAGCCCGGAATTTTGAGGCCCTGCACGACAAACAGGCCCTAAACCGTGAGCCCAAAACCCTAAGGCCTTAAACCCTTGAACATAGATGGTGATCCAGGCGGGCGCAAAACATAGCCTTGAAACTCCAAACTGAACCAACTCATTATTGCTGATTATGTGCATGTATCAGTGTTCCGCAAATGCTAGCTGTTCTGCCACGAAAACCCAAAGGGCAAAGAGGGCTCGTCAACCAGAAGCCGTAAGGACGGCCGTTGGACTGGCGGTGGTTTGTTTTGGTTTGGGGAACAAGGGTTTAGGGTTTCGGGTTTAGGGTTTCCGTTTTGGGGTTTCGGGTTTAGGGTTTTGGGTTTGGGGTTCAGGGTTAACTGTCCTGGGTTTCAAGCCCTAAACCCTACACCCAGGATTGTTGCCCCAAGCAGCGTCAGAAATCCATCAGGGTTCAGGCGGTGCCTTACTCAGGATGTAGCCCTAAACCTGGTCTGCTTGGCGGGTGGCAAAAAGAAAGCCCCCAACCCCTAACCCCTAAGCACCTAAGCCCCTAGGCCCTAAACCCCTAAACCCCCATAAAAACCCCTAAACCTCCCTAAACCCCCCTAAACCTCGCCGGGCGGGCGGCTAGACCCAGAGGTCGCCTCGGTGAGACGGTGCTCCGCGACATCCTCGCCTCCGTGGATGAGGAAGCCAAGTTGAGACCGTCGAAGCTAGAATTTTCTCCCCCAATCCTACACCAAGCATCCTCTTTGGCCCAAAGGGCCTCCCGAACCTCCATACTGAGCCGTACTGGCAGTTCGGTAAGTTGAAGAAGTTTTGCACATGCGTTCATGACTGGTCTGTGTTAGCTACGGGGTTGTATTCCCTGGTTTTGTTGTTTTACTAAGAAGGAAGGGAGCGACTGGTGAAGAGTGCACAACAGAATGTTTTGTTCCCTGGGTATGTCAAATCACCTCGGACCCGACGTAGCCCTGCGATGCGGATTCGCCCCAGCTGTGCAGGAGGGAAAAAAAACCCTAAACCCTTTTGCAGCTTTGGGGGGCAAGTCACGCAGGTTTTGAGGTTTTGGGAGGGCTTCATGATCTTGTGCGTCCTCAGGAGCAGCATCACCCAGCCGGCTCAGGCCCCGTCCTTTGAACACATGAGGTTTAGGGTTTCGGGTGCAGGGTTTAGGGTTCAGGGTCTGACTGATTCGCCCCCGGCAGTCCGGGTTGTTCCCACTTCAGAAGGTGCCAGCGTGGCCACTGCAAGATCCACCAGATCCTCTGCAAACGTTCATGAGGCCAGATTGCCAAGGCTAAGCTCCCAACAGTGCCTTTTTTGGGATGAGAAGGAGCACGTTTAGGGTTTTTTGCTATTTTCAGAGGGGTGGTAGGCCTATTCATAAAGCCTCATGAAGACACTCAACACTTGCCCTGGGCCTTTAATAGCGAGGTCACACGAGGTCAACCGAAAATATTGACCCCGACCTGAAACTAAGTCACGTGACCTGACCTTAATTTCCTGTAGGGTTTAGGGTTTAGGGTTTAGGGTTTAGGGTTTAGGGTTTAGGGTTTAGGGTTTAGGGTTTAGGGCTGCAATGAGGTAGGCCCTGGCCAGAGCCACTTCCCCAAGTAGGTCGGCATCTTGTGACCTCTTTGAAATC